GGTGATGGTGGTGGTGGCGGCGGCAGGTGGGCGGCGGTGGCGGTGGCGGTGGCGGTGGCGGCGGCGGGTGGTGGCGGCACTATCATTCCTATGATAGAATGATAAGTCCAGCCGTGAGGCCGATGTCCCGGCGTGCCCCCCTGCGACTCCCTGATGAATCACATGCAGGTGTACCGGTCAAGCGTAGCAGCCAGGAACTCTGTATAGTCGATCATGCCACTGCCATCCGCATCCACGCCTGGCCACGTGCTCTGCCACAGCTTGGCAGTGACAGTTGCGATTAATCCAAGACAACACTTGGATGTGTTTGCGTGCCCTTTTGAAACCAAGCTGCGCAGCTGGAGAAGACTCGCAAAGTAGTACCGGTGTTTCATTGGGCAGACACGCTTGCAACTGCAGCAGAAATCTCCAGCAGAACCCTACACCCTCTTATTGTAGCCTCAACAGAACCTTCATCCCGTTATAAAGCCCTTCTAGAACCGGAAGCCCATCGTGCAACCCTAAGCCCGCTATAGAACCCCGTTTGCAACCGAAGTCCCTTGTAGAAACCCTAAGCCCTTGATAAAATACAAAACATAGACCTGACTGAACCCTAAGTGTTAAGGACTTAGTTTAAGATACCATGATAGGGAACTATTGGTAACAAGAACCCCGCTAAGCCCTTTATGGAAGCCTTGTAGAACTCGAGGCCCTAGAGAAATTTTGTAGAAGCATAAGCCCCTTATGCAACTCTTGTAGAACCCGAAGCCACTTACAGAACCCTGAGGCCCTTCAAGCACGCTTGTAGAGACCCTAAGCCCCTCATAGAGCCCTCATTGAAAGCCCCTTATAGAACCCTTGTGCCACTTATAGAATCTATGTAGAACCCGAAGCCCCTTGCAGAGCCCCTTCTAGATTCCCTTGGGTACGGCCCGCCACTCAGTAAGAGGTGCATAATATTCATAATATAGATTAGTAGCCCTATTAAAGACTCTTACTGTATGGGGGGCAGTACATAAAGAATTCACTTCTAGAGCCCCAAAGCCTTCGATGATGGCGTCGAGGTCCACCTTGGACAATAATTCGCCAAGGGAGGCCTTGGCCATCCCATCCTGGGCCGCAACAGGCTTTGGTGTTTAGGGTTTGGGTTTAGGGTTTGGGGTTTTGGGTTTAGGGTTTGGGGTTTTGGGTTCGGGGTTTACGGTTTGGGGTTTGGTGCTTGGGGTTTAGGGCTTAGGATTTCTAGGCCTCATGGAGTAGCGTTTCGGGTTTTAGTGTCAGCTTTTTTGAGGATGCCCTGCCCGCTGTGTCGAAGCGCGCATTAGCGCCGGCTCGGAGTTTTTCTAGTCTCGTTCTAGTGCTTCTATTAGGGTTTAGGGTTTAGGTTTTTTTTTTTAAGGTGTAGTGGCCTTTTCTGTGCATGAGCGAACTCAATAAGAAATTGCCTGCCTCACAAGGGGCTTACACAAGAGGTCAGTGCAAAGCACTTACAGCTTCGCAGACGGGTTTAGGGTTTAGGGTCTGCGTATAATACGTGAGGGCCGAGAATATCTCTACTATGGTTGGCTTTCCACTCTGAGGGATCAAAGCGTTGCGCTGTGGTCTCAAGCCATCTTGGAAATTGCATGCCTCGACGTCTTGGTTTCAGCATTTAGGGCTTGGGGTTGCCACCGAACCGAAGCTCTTGCATGGACACCTCGTGGACAAGTTTCAGTTCGGTTTACACTCTCAGGCCTCCACCCTAAGTTCATCTGCCGCGAGGCAGCCGTCGCCATTGGCGTCCAGTGCCACAAAAATCTCTCGCAGGGCCTGGCAGCTACGACCTCTACCAGCTGTCGTCTCAAGCCCAGCGATTCCACTATTGAACTATTGCACGGTGAGTGCCACCTTGATCTTCTCCTCGCTGAGCTGGCCTGCGATGATCTGCAAGGCGGCCTGCACGGCTAAGGAAACGTCTCTACAGGCCCGAGACCTCCGAACAAAGCCGCGCCCTGGCCCTGGCCTTCTTCATCTTGTGCTGATTCTGGAAGGCCCGAAGGTTGTCAACAATGCCGGCCTCTTTTCACGCATGGGCATGCGATTCGCTGCCTCCCCCGCTGAAGCCGCTGCTCGCAAATGCAGCCTGCAGTGACACTGTGGTTGATCGCGGTGCCCGGCACCTCATCTCAGCAAGTTGTGAAAACACCGCCACGGGAAGAGACCGAAGCATGCCGGATTTATGCATGACGATCTCCACTTCAGCTACATCGGTGACAGCATCCGTAGTGTGTACTGAGGTCCTAGTCATCTAGTCCCACGCGTCACCAGCGAAAACATGCTGATCCAAAGCCCAAACCATTGAAGAACAGCTGGTTGTCTGCTATGAAGGGCAGAGATCCGGAGAAGTGCTTGACGGTTACAGACGGAATTTACCCCTTATGCTTGCGACAGAAGAGAGCTACACGCGTGGGTCTGGCCAGGAGTCAATCGGAGGAGAGCATGACAAGCTGCTTTGCTTCCTGAAGCCGCTGCACAAGCGGATAAGGCACTCTGATTGTGCCGGGCGTGCATGTCCTTCAGTCAGCTTGGCTGACCGTTGACATTGCAGAATCGTGGCTGCGAGACTTGGCATTGCGATTGGCAAGGCAAGCCAAACAGCCGTAGCCTAATCTGCAAGTATCTGGGCCCAGATCTATGTCTCAGGAATGACCCCACAACGGTATATTAAAGTACATTGCTGCAGACAGAAACCAACAGCGAGGGCATCGAGTGGTGTAGTGGCGGTGGGCAGAGTCACAAGCTCCTGTACAAGGTCACTCACTTTGTCAAGGGTTTCTGACGCCTGGCACAGCGTGAAAACAGCTGGAGACTCAACACATCGCGCCAGCGGAAAACTCCATGAACGGCTGATACAAACACGCAACTCCGTGTCCGAGGAAAGCCCTGGCAGATTGGCAAAACTTTGCTGGCCAGCACCTTGTGCTCAGCGCCGTCAGCGAGTTCTTCAGGGACTGCGTGGACTTGGTTGGCCCCGCTGGGCCTCAACACACAGGGCCGGCTTCCCACCACGGCAGAGGCAGATGTCACGTCGCCGCAGGCCTGGGTACAGAGCTTGGCCTTCCATCTTCCTTACAGCTGAGGCATTCCGAATCATGCTTCTGATGCTGCTGCGAGCCTCATCCAATCGGAGGAGTGGTTCTGGTACTTCAGCATCTGCAAGAAGTTCAGTGTTGCAAGTTGCACATGACATGACATGTCCCATACCCACGCCTGCAGAGGTGCAGAAGATGGGCATGCGGAAACTGTAGAGGCCTGTCATCTCCCGGATTGCTCTCAATCATCCAGCTGCCATACGACGGTGCTCTCCCTGCCTCGTCGGCCACGTCAGGACGCGCAATCTCTAGGTCGGAGGAGCAAACAGGCACCGGCCTGCTACCGTAAGGCTGCACGGCAGCAAGCGGTGACTCAAGAAAGGAAGACTTCTAAGGGAGTCACAAGCTCGGCTCCAGCTGCGAAAGGCGGGTTGGGCCGATCCCTGGGAGTTAACAGGGAAAACCCACGAGCAAGGGGAAAAACACGCACATGTCTACCGTGCTTCTCCTCTCTGAGCTCAAGGCCAGTGACGAGGCTCGCAATAGCACTGCACTGCGATTCCCTCGAACTGCAGGGATGACCGGAATGACTGGTGACAGCCTGACATGACCGTCAGACAACCTGCCTGGGGGACTGCGACTTGACCATTTTGGCTTCAAGGTACGTAGGATAGCGCCTCGGGACATCGTACTTCCGGCACTGAGCCACAGAGCTGAAGTTCAAGGAGCCGGGCACCAGCTCGAACATGCCAAGCTTGCCCAGTCTCTTCCGGCTCCTCCGAGGCCAGAACCAACGAGCCAAGGATCTGTTCCGGGCTCAGGCCGCCACTTCGGTGGGTTGTCGGTGCGTTTCCGAACGTACTCGAGTTCTTCCACCGACTTCCTCCGCATCCGTCCCGAGTCCCAGGAGTTCGATTCAAGTGTCAGCGGCCTTGCCCAGATGAGCTCGGCCTGGACCCGGGTGTACTCTGACGAGATGCCTGGCTCAGATGTGCGGACACTGTAGCGCTGTCACGGGCTCCGAGACAGTCTGCCTGGTAAATTTGGGCGCCCACCGGCGCCCTTCGCCACGCCTGTTGCTAGGGGCAGTTGAGGCTTCGCTCTCGTCCTAGCTTATAGGAGCACAGCGAAAACATCCAGAATCTAGCCCTGATCTCGTCAAGGATCTTCTATGGCAAGACATCTCCGAAAAATGGCACCTTCCTCGGGCATCGCCACTCGGGAACAGCTTTTCGAGGCTTCGTGGATCTAGCTGCTCTCCATGATCGAATTGGGTTTGTTTGCAGGAGGCCCTTCATCATTGCCCGTTGCTTTAAGGAGATGGTGATGTCGACGGTTGTGTTGCTTCTTGAATCTACGATGGGTGCCATTGCCGGACATCTCAAGCCAAAACGGTGTGCCCGGCCATGTCTTCGGTACGCACACAGGGCCATGAGGCACAAAGCGAGCTCTGAGCATCCAAAGACCCCCCAAGGCGGGCACCTGATCCACTCGTGTTGCAGTGCCTGGCAACACGGCCGTCTGACACGAACACACACCAGCCTTCCACAAGTGCTCTCGGTGAAATTTCAAGACTCGTTTGCTTCGGGCTCCTTGCTCTAACTTGGCAGCCTGCTCGGCCGTGTAGCGCTCAGCCGGATCAAACTTGATCAGCATCCTTATCAGTGCCTGCGACGAAGAAGCAGGATAAGACTGGAATGTTCGTTCTTCCGTGGTAGTCCCTGTATCTGCCCATGCTTCGGTGAAGAAAGTGCGGATCAAAGAATACTGCAGCCTTCGCATCGTCTGAGACGTTCTTCCAATCCTGCGCGCAGCGTCAACTTTTCTGTGCTGCAGTGCGTGCACGATCGATCATATTGGCATTAAGGTTTGGATAACCGAGCTCCTTCTGATCAAAGGTAAAGTTGCCAGACTTCACCTTGTGAAGCACCTGCACATCTTCGGTGCCGAAAAAGTTTCCGAGACCTGCAAGAATAGCCTCGTGATCCGTCTTCCCATAGAAGGGAGGATATCCGCAGAGCATGGTGTACCTCAAAAAGCCAGAATTCTGAAGCAAGGTCGCGCCGAAATTGTGAGGGCCAGACATGATCACCCCGCAGCTCCACAAGTCACAGGATTTGTCGTACTTGCCCTGGAGCACCTTCGCGGACCCCCTGGGACACTCGACCCCTTTGCGCAAGCAGACGGCGAGTTTGTGAAGCCTGCGGTGCCACGTAGTAGGGCGTCCCTGCCTTCGTGGACATAACCTGAAGGCAATGGGAAGATGAGGCAGGGCCCTGAGCTCTACCACTTGGCTCCCCTCTCCCACAAGACCGGACCTTCCCGTCGGAAGCTGGGCTGGAGAGGCCAAAGTCCTTGGTTCAAACTCTACCGAGACCGCCTCACGCCTCACGGATGACAAACATACACATCAGATGCCGGAGGTCTATTCACAGCCAAGGCTGTCCAAGAGGCTATCAGCTTGAGGATGTTCTTGTCGATCGAGTCCTCTCTGCTTCCGGAAACGAGTACTCTCAACAAGGACCGAAAAGCCCGTTTGAGCAGGCCCTTCGTTCCTAAAACGTAGACTGTGAGAAACGACATTCATCATGTTCGACCGCTTCTGCCCTCCCATTCAAAGGCTGCTTTCGGACAGCGACCACTCTTGAAGTCCTTGCAATATGGGAGTCTCCGAGAATTAGAGGTACCTTATTTGGGGGTCCTTATCATAAGGATCCTACTATTTAGGGTACCATATTAAGGGCCCCCATTTTCGGAAACCCCACATCTCCGCGCGGCTCTTAGGAAGACAGGACGGCGGCTCCTTGGTCAGGAACCTCGGTTAGGCTGTTAGGAATGCTGTGCCGAGTTGAGCTTACCTGGGAGCTCAGCGACATGTGGAGAGCACAGGAGAGCCCGGAGTCATGCAGCTTAGCAGCAGAAAGTTTTCCGGCTTCAGATCTCTATGGCCTCAGTCGAAGCAGAACGTGTACTGCACACATGCCTGCAACGAACATAGCACGAAGGCAGCAACAGTCGGCTCAGTGCACGGCAGACATCCATCCTCGTACGTTAAGTACTCACACAGCACGGAGTCGTTTGCAATGATTCGCGCACGGAAGCCTGCCCTGTTGAAGCAAGCTGCTTGTGCATGTAGAAGATAGCATGCAGGATGTGTGACCTGGCAGGGCCCAGCACACTGGCGTTTGCAATCCGAGACTTCCGGCAGCAGGGCACAATGGCACAACAGAGGCAGAGCTACACCACGATGGCGCCGTCGGATTCCCTGAAGTGGCCGGCCTGAAAAAGAGCTCTGAGATGAAGGGTTGGGCGCGCCTTCCCAGGCCCGGGCCGCTCCGCCTCGATGATCCGGTCGAAAAGTTCTCCCCCCGAGCAGAGCTCCATCACCAGGTAGATGTGTCTTCCTGAACCATGCACTCCGCACTCCACGGTGCTTTGGGCCATGGGCCTTACGAGTACCACACTGCGGAGAATCAGGCCGACGCGATCTTCGAAGGTCTCGAAGAGTTTGATGATGTTCGGGTGATCCATGACCTACACTCAGGGTTTAGGGTTTAGGGCTTGGGGCAGTGCCCCGTCAAGACGGAGCTGCACTGTCTGCCAGACTCTTCGCGCTTCTTGGCCTTCATGATGGCTACCTCTTGCTTGAAGCGAGCCAGGTTCTTCATCTGCCCCTGACCATTCGAGGGCTAGGCAGACGGTCGAGGGGAAACGATCTCTGTCCCAGACATCCCTCACCAGACCCTTTGAAATAAGCAGATGGGCGAAGATCTGCTTAGCTGTCCCGACCTTGGACATAGTCTTGATAGCACGAACCACGCCAGTCTGCTTGTGCCTTGGCGACGCAAGTCCCACGCGGACGAACAAGAAGCATGATGAGAGTGCAGCGCCAAGCAGAGAAGCACAGCAATTACATCGAAAGCAACAACAGCGGCGACGACGGCCCACACCAGCAGCCGCACAAAGGCTAGAAGTGGCACAGTGTATCAGCGTACTGTATCCTAAGTGCTCGGCACGGCGCTGGAAACAGAGCCGTAGGTTCCTTCACCGAGCTTTCTTGCCTTCACGACAACATGACTAAGTAGCAAGACTATATCAAACACCTGCGGCTGCTGCAGAAAGCCTCAATCTTGTAGATGTCCCGCACATCCCTCGGAAGCAGTTGCTTGCCGCCCATTCACGTATTTCAACTCATATAGCAGGTAGGCATCATTTCTTCTACCTGTGCTTTCTGTCGAGCAGCCCCGAGTGGTTCGGGATCAGCTGCGCACGCGACAGCGCGTCCTCGGAACCAGCAGGCAGATCGCAGCACCAGGCTATCTGAGGAAACAATCTTTGATGATTCGGTCTGGTGCATTATGACTCTGCGAAACTCTGCCCGTCACAGCTCACAATCGGTACCCTGGGTCTCGGGTGCCGCGCTACTTTGTTCGACTTCTGCCCCGACCTGATGACTCGAAAAAGATGCAGAGCCCTTGCGTCGTGCTGGCTTGACTAGTGTAAATGTCCCCTTTCACACAAGCCCCATTACTGTAGAGAACATGGGCATTGGTCACGAGATGCCTCCGAGTACCCGACACTCCATTCAACATGGTTGGAAGATCTTGCTTCCGATCGTGCTTCCTGCGTGATCCAGCAAGCTGGAAAAGGCTCACTCTGTCTGTCGTCTGCCTTGCTGCAACCGTCATTGTGTCCGGTGCCGAAACTTCCCGAAACTATAGTGTCTTCTTCCCATGTCAAGATGCTACATGTGCTTGAAGCCACTGCCTTCGCTTGCCCGCAGGTCCATCTTGACCAAAGCTGCCCTCAGACACAGATGGCTAGCAACGCACACCTCTCTGTATCTACAGCAGTGATGGCTGCCGAGCTGTTTAAGCCTTAGGCCTTGAGATGCCTGAAGCTCCCTGAGAACACCGCACTTTTCTTGTGGATAACCTGGTTCTTGGTGGCGCAAACGCCCATGTTGCACCTGCACCCGGGAAACTCAGCAGCTGTCCAAGGCCTGAAGGAATCTTGGAGAGCTTCCAGGGAGAGGTTCTGAAGGCCCTTGGACTTCGATCAGCAAATTGCCAGACTCAACGCAGACTGTGGAAGCTCCACGATGTCCTAAGATCTCCCTTCAAGACGCTCCGTGCCAAGCGGTTTTGCCGTCTCCGTTTGCTGACGCCCACGGTTACAACCGCCCATCTCCAAACGAACTGCCCTGCCCACCTTTCTATCGGAGGCATCAAAAGGTGGGATCAAGGTAGCTAGGCTGAAGGATGAAGGATCCCTCTTGTAAGGACTCTTACTTCAAAACTACCACACCTACCTTCGTCCTAGCTTTCGAGGCCCCTGATTTGTAGCCGTGTTAGATTAAGAGGACAACAACATTGTCCCCTCCTTGTCCCTGTGCAGTTATACTAGAGTATGCCCTTAAACCTTTTAAAATCATGAAATCAAGCATGTACGTTTACTGCTATGTATCCCAAAGCACCCTTCTGGAAAGCTTTCCGCTTCCCACTCAGACCCGAGCAACCGGAGCACGCGGCTGGATGCAAATGGAAATATCGCAGGTTTAGGATTCAGGTTCTAGGGCTTAGGCGGCTAAGGCATTTAGTAGCTCGGATTTTGGCTTGTCGGGTCTATTTGGCTAATGTAGCTAGAGGCTGCAGCAACATGTGATTTGAAGATACTGTGCTCTTCTGCTGAGTCCTTGGTGTCTTCGGCGTTGTGGACACCTGGCCACCCTACGCAGTGCAGTCTGAGCCCGACAGCCGACAAAGCATCCACAAGTTCCATCCTGGCCATACAGTACCTGATACTAGGACTTGCACTGCCTCGAAAAGCGAAAGAGGTCATGCCAACAAGTGCCGCTGCATCTACAACTAAACACTACATCCTCACTACAAAGAAGAAGCTTCTTGGAGTGAGGGCAGCATGCGGTGGCCCTGGTGGCACCACTTTCGTTTATTGCCTGCGGACGTGCGCCGGGCACGGGTACCTTGCCCCTGCGCAGGTGAGCAAGGCCCTGGACATCATATGTACAAAGCGTCCGGAGATGATGCCCTAGGGCCCAGGAATCCCAATAGCTCCAACGAAGTACACTGACCAAGGAAGGAAACCACCAAGTCATTGAAGCATTCCAGGCAGTCCAGGCACTCGAGCCGGATGACCCGCTCACAGCACGGCTCTTTGAAAAAAAGCTTTCTGTTCATCGGCACCGGCTCTTGTGAGGACTCCTTGAGACATTGAGACCCTGCAGACAACGGAGTGTCATTGTGAAACGACCCGCTTGTCCGCGGGGAAGATGATGCAGGTCTTCTGGCATGCCCTCTACATCGACATGCTTCAAAAGCTTAGGCATGCAGAACTTGACTGAGCTGACTGAGACTTGACTTGGCTGTTTGACAAATCTGAACTGATCTGCATCTGGTCAAGCTCTGTACGAGCCTGTTTCCCACAGAGTGGCGATTGTCTTGGCCGCTCGGCCAGCTAATCTAATGTGGTAGGATTCATGAAAGTTTGGAGGCATGAACATCCTCTGGTATCGGAAGGAGTTCATGCATCTATCCTTGCACAAACACTTCTGAGGATTCTCCTGTGGAGTGTATACTCCTCAGTGACCCACTGCCAAACTGGTCGCGATCCCAAAGCAGAAAACTGACACAAGGGGAAAGAAGGCAGGACCACGAAAGCACTCTTGCAAACTACAGAATAAACAGTCCGATTCCGAAAGCACTTGCTGTCGGCCTTCCTGCTTCCCTGTGTAGACATGTCTTCCGCACAGTGAGGCCTTAGCTATCCTTCTCATGCTCCTGCAAGAAGAAGCTTCTGACACTGACAGGTGCTGAGTGTCGAAGCTAAAACCATGACAAGTGGATGCTAGGCGTCCTCCTCCAGCATCTGGAAGACCACCACATAGAAGACGACCTCGCACGCAGCTCATTTTCGAACTACGGCCACACTACAGTTCGCCGGGGCAGAGAACCTGAGAACGAATGTCGCATACATTGAGGCACCGGCAAGAAGGAACATTGTCAACACGAAGTAGAAATACATGTTGGTGATGATGTTCTCCGTTGGAAACCGTGTCTCAGCCACCCCAGTCAGTGACCAGCTTCCCCACGAGGCAGGTAGGGAGGCACATGGTCAAACAAATCAGCAGCTTAAGATACTTGCAGGCAAAATTTCCCGATGCGAAATGCTGCAGGCACACCCAACTGCATCTGAGGAGTGAACCACCGCGTTCTGCAAGATGGCTTTGAGCGCCTGGGAGGGTCAATGCCCGAGTGTCGCTAGTTGAGGGAACACGCAAAGTCCGCCGTCGGCGGCACCAGGACTATTCAGCTATTTGTCACTGCAGCGATCAATGTGTCAAACTCCGGGAGTCGGGCTCTGCCATGTGTCGCAGTGGTGCCGGTAGGTCCCGGCCGGGCCTCCTGGCAGAAGGGGCGTTTGAATTTGCCTTCCCCTCTCGGAGCATGTTCTCTGAGCCGCCTCCGTGATCTTCTCCGAAGGGCTTGGGCTCGGAGCCTGCACGGCAAGTCCCAATGCAACACTTTGACGTTCACGGAGCACTTCGCGCGGTGGCCTCTGGCTGAGCTGCAGGTCCAGGTGCTCCCCCAGAGCCGGCCTCTGAGGTCACAACGGTCACGTCACCGCACCACGGAACTGACGCTACGCGAGCCACACGCTGCACCGATTTTCCGATAGCCGCGGCCGCCTCTCCGAGGGCTGAGCCGCGGCCGTCACTCGCGAAAACTCGAGGCCGGGGCAGCCCCAGACGGCTGCCCTGGCGATCTGTCGCTGAACGACATCATTCGTTTGCAGGGACACATCGGCTGCAGCAGCCATGCCTTGGGACACAGCTGCTGCTTCCGATGAGCACGGGAGCAGAAATCGGCTGTCCGAACGAATTGCAACCATACTCACTGCATCAAAGCGCCTAACATCGGCAGCCTGAGCTCCCAGGTCTTCCGACCGGTGGGGCACAGCAGGACTCTGACTTCGTCAGCCCTCACCGTGGACCATAGCTCAGCTTCCAGGAAAGCTCCCGCAGAGATGCTTTTTGTCCGAGTGTGGTTTCCTGGAGGCCTTTCGCGTTAACTACCATAACACACTAGCATCGGGGTTGGGGAGAAAAAACCCAATTCGCAAAGCACTCAGTTCCTCAGGTCAGGGGAAGCTTCGACCTGGACTCGGGCTCCACATGCAACGTCCTCGGATTCACATGCGTCCACCAATCTAGAATAGGCTCTATGAAGGAATGTGCACCGCGCCCCTGACATCCCCGTCGTCCCTGGAGCCCTCTCACCGATCGAGCAAAGGCTCACGGACTCCAGGTTTGCCACAAGCTCGGGCGCTTGTGGAAGCGAGGCAAGCTGAGGGGTTTCCTGGCTGAATGCAGGCCCTGGATTCGACTTCGCACTTCTTGGAGCTCTTGGCCACGTGTGGCGAGATTAAAACCGCTTTACTAGCTACAGGCCAAAGCCCCCCAAGCATCTAGGATCACTGATGTTGTCCAGCCGACTCTTCGCCGAGACTTTCGGAGTTCTCGAAAAGCACAAAATCCAGGTCGAGCCCTATTCGGCAATAATGTAGGGTAAGAACACCATCAGAGCTGATTGCATACAATCTCCCGTGCGCCTTTCCTTCCCGCTCTACTGTGCTAGATAAGGTCATTGCAAATCGTAGCCCTGCAAACTTGCGGCGCTCTTGTGGCCTCGGCAGTCCTAGGCACGGAAGCTGAGGTGGAAGAGCCCTTGGTGCAGCGCAGAGTCAGGACAACGTTGCGAGTTTGGGGTGCGAGATTTAGGCCTGCTCGATCGAAGAGCCACGTAAGCGAGTTTAGGCCAGTGCTGCAAGGCTAAGTGTCTAAGAATCAAGCTTCGGCTCTGGGCCCCTCAAGGACCTCTGGGGCCAAGGACTCGAGCCCAGAAGCTATCCAATCCTCACTTCCACTCAGGATCCCAGATCAACTAGCGCTCGAATCCTAACTGAAAGGTTCAGAAGGCTATGCAATGAATCTTGAAGCACGAGCCACCACCACAGTAAATGACACTGTCATGGTGACTTGTTGTGGTAATTTTGGAAATCTTCTTGTCCCTCCGAGACTTCGATTTTCCTATTCCTGCTGCTCTAATCCGTAGTCTTCGCCTTCTTACTATTCTGATTGGTGACGCTAGTATGAGTATCAACCTTATGCCTCTTTCTCATCATCATGATCCTAATCTGAGCTTCTGTGTACCGTCGGCACTTGCACCTGCAACATGCTGATTTGAAGGTCGCAGCCAATGCCTGATGTCAGCCGTGGCACTGATTCTGTAAACCCTGAACCCCAAGCCACGAAACCTGAAAACCAAAGCCCTGAACCTCAAATCCAAATCCCCAACTGACCCACTCCAAACTAGACAACACTGATACCGGCAAGAAAAAACCAGCAACGGTTGTTAGAACAACGCGGTAGGACCGTACTAGCCATCACAAAGAATCGTAATCATAATCGTAGCCAAACAAAACCCAGAGAGAGACACACAACAATCAGCGTAATCCAACATATGCAACTATTAGAGACCATGCAGGTGCAGGGTTGAGGGTAAAAGATCATGACGACCGTTTACTCCAAACCGCCAACTCTGCTCCCTCCGAAAAAGCAGTCACAAGGACGATAATGACAATAGCTCTATAATGATGATGACGATGAAACCGTCTTGCCCTCTCCAACCCTTAACCCTAAACCCTGAACACCGAAGTCTAATGAACCACTACCCCAAAACTTCCCTGAACCTTAAGCAGCCTTCAGGTACTATAGGGGCCTAAATAATTAGAAGGCATATTATACTATAACTATAGTAAAGAACCCCCAAATTATTATTGTTACTTGTATTTATTTAATTTTTAAAGGCCCCCATTTTATCTTGCGGCCCGGTCGCCTGAGACGCGGCAGGCACAGGCGATCCCAGGGCGTCCTGGGAGCTTTCGGCCTGCGGCGGCTGGCTTCGATCTTTGGCGAATTTGGGTTTTGGCTTAGTGTTTAAGGTTTTTTAATCGGAGAAAAGGAGGAAAAAAAACTAAAGTGCTTAGGGTTTAGGCTTTAGAGGTTTAGGGTTTAGGGGTTTAGGGTTTAGGGTTTGGGGGTTAGGGGTTTTGGGGCTCAGCTGGCGAGTTCGGATTTGAGGTCTTTTTGTCGGGTCGCTTGGGGTGATTGGGGGATTCGAGGTTGCATGGCGATTCTGTTGAAGTGATTTCGGGTTTGAGCGGTCTTTTGGGGGAGAACGGGTTAGAGGGTTTTTTGGCATTGTGGTGTAGGTGGTTTGCCGTTGCAGGATTGAAGAAGGTTTGGAGGTTCTCAAGATTGAAGGCCTGGGGTCGGGATATGTTCGGATGTAGGATCTGATCCTGGTTGGAGTTGGGGTTCGGCCTCTGCGGTTTCAGGGCGGGCAACGCATCAGGGCAAACAAACACATTGCCTTTACTGTTGAACTTCACCGTCGCTTACCGGCTACAGAGGGTTGTGGCCAAGACCGTAGGTTCTGAGATTTTGGTTCACGGAGCCCAGATTCAGATATACAATCGACTTGCACGGGGCGCGTCGCGCCAGGAAACCCGGGCTGAAGAGACGCGAAACCTGACTCCTACCTCCCTGCACGCTTCTTGGACATCTCGGAGCACTCGGACGAAGGCGCCGGAAGACCTCGAACACTTGATGACCGGGCCTTCGCACGCACTTGGCTCGATCCTTCGTGCGTCGGCAATGCAAACACCATGGGCTGTCCGTCGATGCGCACGAGGAACATTACAACTACGAGTCATGCTTACCTATTCCATGACACGCATGTTTGACTCATGCCTCTGGCCGAGTCACGTCGCCCACCAGTATGGTTCTGGTCGTATTCATGGCCAGCTTGACTGGCACGCTCTTGCGCGACCACCTGGCGGCTTCAACGAGAGGGCGATCGCTTTTACACTGCAAGCTTCCTAGCATTACCGGGAGCATCTTCTCCGACCGACGAACACCGAGCCATGAAAATCACCCTATTAAGACGAGCGGCAGCCTCTTCTGCTGAGATGAGGTCTAGGCAGGGCCTGTCCGCATAGACTCGGCGCGTCTTTGGCTTGGTCCTCTTGCGAGGCTCCTTATGCCCCTGGGTCCACTTCTCCTGCAAGCAATCGGAAAGCATCACATGCCACACATCTGATCCTCTGAGAGCAGTCTCCTCCAGGGGAAGCTTCCCAGTTTCGCGCTCCTAGCAGCAAAAAGCCAGTCTCTGCGGAACTCAACCAAAACGAGTACGAGATTGCACTGCAACAATCGGATACAAACTTGCTTAAGACCCCTGGACAAAACAACGTTGGTGGCCTTCTCCTCGTGGGACGGCGGAGATCCTGACATTGTCAGCACACCGGCTCACGGGCAAGCAGAATGAGACGAGAGTAGACGAACTGACAACTATGCTCTGAAGCTTTCTCCGCACCTGTACTGGACCGCAGCGTCTTGTGCAGCTCTGCCAGCTCTGCGGTCAGCACGCGTTCGAGAGAGCTCTGCCGGCGGAGGAGCTCGTCCATGCGGCCTTCCACTGCCTGCATCTGTCGAAATATCCATTGCAAGGATCGCGGTGCAACCGTCATGCACGTCCGAGTGAGCTGACATGTCTGCAGACTGGTTGCTCGGCTGTACCTGCTGTTGACCCTTCAGCTACAGTGCCTGCCGATTTCTATCAAACTGCGAGAACACAGGCATGTCACCAGAGATCTGTGCATGTCGGTGTGGCACTCCCACTCCCAATCCCACTGCTACTGCTACTGCTGCTGCTGCAGCTGCTGCTACGGCTGCTACTGCCTCCTCCTGTTATTGCTGCTACTACTGCGGGCATTCATGCAAGTTCAAGGCCTTGCCTGCAGCCTTCGCCCGACGAACTCACTGACGTCCACGCTAGCAGCAGGTTCGCTGGACACGGTGCTTTTCGGCGTATCGGGGCCATCCTTGGCTCTAGAGGCACAAGGTTCAGAAACCAGCGCAATGACAGTGACCCGTAAGTGATAACCCTGCTTACGAATGTCAAGAGGAAGCCCAGCATGGCATTCTTTGGATGGCGAGCTAGCAAACATAAAAACGAGATGCAAGCAAAAAATGATGCGATGACGTTGCAAGAGATCCCCCTAAGAGGTAAATCGCGACGAGTGCAGGGAAGATTGCCGGAAACCACTAGCAGTGGTGCTGCCCAAACTCGCTTTGCTCCTTTACTTCTGTGACCTGGAAGGTGACGGACTTCGCACTTTTCATGCTCTCCTGCAACAGAAGCAGTGGCGCCACGCCCTATGGAGGCATAGGCATATGCACATTAATTCGCAAAGTAACATGGAACACGCGCGCCGCGTCGGTCCTTTCTCTTTTGCTTGGCTTCTGGCGTCTCAGGCCTTGGCTCGACAGATGCCAGCAGAGCAGCTCCGGTTAGGACTGAAGGGGATCACAAGGGGATTAGCACCAACCCGAAGAACCCTGAGGGCACTGTCATGTCAGAAGCTGTGCCTCATGCATTTGAGGCATTTTCAAGACAACAACCTCCGACTGGATGCTTGCAATAGTAAACCCTGGAACCCTGATGTAGGATGCGTGATGATGTATGCGATATGTCTGAAAAGTCGAAGCGCATGCCTTTGATCTTCCACGGGGTCACTGTCGCTCCAGCAAGACCACGTTCCCAGCGCTGCTTGACTTTCCGTTCGCGGTCCCGTTTCTGGGCACAGAGGGCAGATAGAGTTGAGACGGTGCCGCGGTTCAAGTCTGCCCCGGAAAGATATAGACAAAGCTGAATGACATGGTTCATGACACTGGCACTGGCCAATGTGTGACA